TTTGCTCCATTTTCAAATCGCCCAGTCATAGTTTTGTTTAAGAAATACTACTGTATTCTTTGAATTCGCCCCGTTTTAAATTCGACCAAATGAAGGTAGGGCGAAAGGGGCGAAAATAAAACGGGGGCGAAAATTTCCCTGTATACAGTATTTAAAGACTTCTTTTCAGCGAGGCATATGTAATGAAAAAAAAATCGTAAAAAATAACAGATCTAAATTTTTAAATCACACTTAAGCTTGATTTTTGTAACAAAATTTAAAAGCAAGTATAAATTATCTCTTTGATGAGAAATGCCAGTTCTAAAATATTTTTTTTTAATTTCTCTTGTATTAGGAACTCGTCTGCTCTGGGGGATTCTTTCTACGTTCTAAAGGAGTCTGTAAAAACAGTAAGTAAACAATGAAAGAACAATTACCATGAATTGTGATTGGGACACAATTAGTCGACATACATTTATTCAATAAATATGCATTTGTTTCTAAGGGTTATAAAAACAAAACAATATATAACAAAATAATTTCTTCAATATCAAGAAACGTGTCTTTAAAGATAACAAAATTAATAGGTACGAATAAAGATCAGAGAATTTAAGAAATTGTTAAAAATGTTTTTCACTTCATTTCGATATAATTTTTTTGTGGTTCTTTACCTCAGTCCAAGAATATCTGAATCCTGTTCCAGATAACCTGGCTTTAAATAGCCCTGTAATGATGAGGTCTGTTTTTGACGATCCTGCCCATGCCAGCTTCCGCCATGGTAGCGGTAGTCTCGCAGTGAATGGAGAAGTGAGACCTGACGACAAAGAGTGCGCTCATACTAACACTGAACCTCAGCCTTGGTTGACAGTAGATCTCCTCGACCAGTTTTATGTCCGGTGGGTCGTATTTGTAAACAGGAAAGTTTCAGGTAATTTTGTGCTTATTTGTTATTCATGTATCCCCCGAAAATGATACAATTATGGTAGGATCCAACCAACTGCCGATAGAAGACTAATAATGTAGCCAACAGTAAGATAGTACGTGCATAAGTCTTTAAATCGACAAAGTTCCAGTAATCATATTGATATTCAAATTCACAGTTTTGTAGTTTGGATTAAAGCTGCTTCTAACTCATGACGAACAAAAAAGAATTCATATGAACAAAGAGAAAATTCTTTTTAACAACAATCTGCTGAAGAAAAATATGTTCAAGCATCTTGAAGTTGATTTAAATAAGCGTAACGTTCCATTTGGACTTTGGTTTTGTTTTTTGTTACTTGAATGAAGCCAGAAAATTGATATTTATGTAACGATCTTAAAGTTTAATTATTTCATTAAGTTTGTTTATATTTGATTCTGTTATCATATAATTATAGTTGATTGTAGTCTTTTGTTTACGTATCATTGCCCCTCGCGAGCAATGGTAAACTATTATGTAATGGTCAAAACGCATTGCTCCTCGCGAGCAATGCCTTGAAGTTATATATGGGGGGATGTTCTCAGACATTAGCACTTGCGCAGAATTAGTACATAAGTCACTGACTTGCTGAACTTGGATTACATTATTGTTTTAATATTGGGATTATGTGTGTGTGACTCTTGGATGTTATTGGGATTTATTATGATGTGAAAATAATGTAAATAAACTTTTAAAACGAACTTGGCGTAATTCATTCAGAGGATTGGAAATTTAGAGTTATCTCTCTTTGAACGCTGCGGCGACGTTACATTTATGCCAGGTGTACGTAAAAGGTCTTGTATTCGGAAATTATTGTAGAGGAAATATTTATTTTATAGTTTTGATAATTAATTAAACAATAATGTCTTTCATGTTCTTCGAATATCAGAATCCATACCAGTCAAATAAGACTCGGTGTCTGGCTCTTGATGAGCATTTAAACCAAAAAATATTTTCATGCAAACGTAAATGAGATACTTTTTCTGTCCTGTTTAGAGTGGCGTTTGCACGATTTGAATGTGACCGTAGGAACAACTAATGTGACCTTCCCCTGTTTGTGTGGATATATTATCGGTCCGGGAAGGTGAACATGACATGTGAAGAGCATTGTAGAGGGCGCTACGTGCGTCTACAAATTAACTCCCCTGTTCAAGAGATTTGACAGCTGTGTGAAGTTGAAGTCTACAATGATTGCAATATCTAATCTGTAATAACGCATTTATAAGAAAATAATACCTACGGAAACTATTTTTGATACACCAAAATTGTCAACGTTTGTTTAAAGCCAATAATAATAACATTGTAAAATATATTTCCCTGGAGTGTTATGTTTTTCACTTGATTAAAATTAAGATGAATATCGTATACTATTTCCATTTCTAACTTTTTTCTCTGTGATAAATCTTTGAAAGTAAGAGGGGTTGATTTCTTGACAATTCTACCGGAATGTAAATTAGGCTGGTCGATAGGTCAGGAGCTAAGGAGGCCTAATATGCATGCAAATCTCGTGCGCATCTGTCTCTGTTTCTGACGCTAAGGAGACCAAATATGCATGTAAATCTCGTGCGGCTGTCTTTGTGTTTGACGTCACTTGCAGGGGACTATTGAAATTGGCCTGGGAGTCCTCATGTAATTAAAATCTATGCTTACATTTTTAAAATATAAATCTATAATTTTATTATTTTTATTTTACAATGAAATGGAAATATAAGGAATCACTGTCTAGGTACTATAGTATGCCAGGGACATCAACAATAGTGGGAAACATGGGATAATTTATACCTAACGAGCTTCGCCCGTTATGAAAATTATCCCATGTTTCCCACTATTGTTGGTGCCCTGGCACACTATACTAACTAGACAATGATTCCTTAAATATATAATCTATATTTTATTATCGGCCACTGCGGTGTCTGATCTTTATGTGGATGTGTTAAACAGTTCTTATGGGTATAAGAATTGTTTATTATTTCAAATATTCTTTTATTGTTGACATTTACTGACATTCATTAATTTTTTTCTTCAATAGTTCACAAAGTGTCAACTTAATGATTAGTACAGTACGGTTATAAACAGAAATAAAATGAATTATTTTAATTTGAATTTTGATATATTGTCCAATATCGAAGCACATGAGGCATGTATGAATCGATTGTCTACTTGGCATTTTTTTTTTTTACAAATCCTATCTAACTCAGACGTGATAAGCGCCTTCTTTTTTATTACTCAGGAACAAAGTAAATACTATATATATTTCAAGAGTATGCTTAACAGGTTTTGTCAGGCTGAGGAAATCAAAAGGGTGCATTTTGATAAAATCCGTCTCAAGAAAAACCACAAAATAAATTTGAGTACGCGTTCAGTGCAACTTAGATACATGTAGCGTTAATATGATCAACAGGTAAGTTCGTAGTGTAACTTTTATTTCAACTAATACTTTTCCTTGCATTGTTTTTTAAAACAATTAAGACAATCGAAAACGAATTGTATATTCATTAGATTTAATTTATTGATAAAGGTAATATGAAAACGACATTGTATTTTCAAACCTTTACTTCCATTTTCAGAATTATGTGTGCAATGAATTAATTACTTAATAGTTTGATTTTAAGACATGTATATTATATGAAATCTTTTGAAAATATTAGATGATGAGAAAGGAAGCAAGCTACTTTTATCCTAAAACGTATTCACTTTGGTTTAGATAACAACGAGTTTTATGTACCAATAGAAAACTAAAAATCAATTACGTTTACTAATTAAAGACATTTCAAAAGTGTAACACACCTTTAAGATTTGAAATGATAATGATTTATTGTCCAAGTCACCTGACAGCAAAATCAATAGCGTGCAGCGATCGTACACATGGACTTCTTATCACCAAGCAATGACAATCTACATATTTTTACATGTACGTAGTGGTGCCCTTATGTTTAATTAGTGCCTCTTTTCGATAAATATCGCATTGTTTTGTTTATATTACATAATAGTTTACATTTCATATTGATGATCAACTTTGATCTGCAATTGAATAGATTTTGGTGTTCAATATGTTTGTTATTGATTAAAAATATTAATAATTAATATTTTGTTTTTTATTTTCTAACAGGTCAAACAGATCATCACAGGAGAAGACAGATAAAAAGTAAAAATTAATATAAGTTTTTTGATCATATTCCAATATTTATATTTCAAAGGTTCTCTTACACAAAATACCAGACATGGATGTCAATTTCCCAGAGGAAAAACTGAAAGAATATTTTGCTATATCTGCACATCCTCACGATAACAATGAACTGTATTCTATTGTTGGAAAAATTCTTTCAAAAGATTATAAAAGTAAAAACGTTCGCAGAGATCTGTCGAAATTCCAAAAAAGATTTAAGTTTTATTTTTCCCTGTTCAAGGCGCAAACATATAGACCAGGTATGTCGACGCGCGAGGCGTTCATGAGCGATATGACTGTTCTAGAAGATGAACAGTTTCCACCAACTCTACGCGATTTGTATGCAGTGAGTGAGTTTCTTGAACAAAAAATTATACTCCTGAAAATTACTGAGGATTGTGAAGCAGTCGATGGATTTCGCATATCACCCATCTTAAGAGAAACGTCCAAAACCGATAAAATTATGCTTTTGCTCACTTTTGTAGACGGTGAACCGTACTTCCGGCAAATCGAAGGAGAAGAAAATAACCTTGCAAATTGTCCGGTTACATTTATCAATCAGAATCATTATTTGTGTCTTGATAAGCGATTCAAGAACGCGTTTCAGGAACTCCATGCATCATTCATTTTAAGGAAAATTGAGGGAATGAAAATGAATTCTTTAGAAGAAAATAGGACAACCATCACAATATCTGAAACAGATAAAACGAACATTTTTGTTGTGCTAAGTCAGCTTGTATATGGCTCAGAGTGCATGGAGGAATTCGTCAAGGATCACGTTATTACCCATATGAAAAGTGAGGAATTCTGTGAAATATACCAAGCTTTTGTATGTTTAGATAAATTCGAAGAAAAAAAGAAGGCAATTGATATGCTGCCTGAAGGAAAAGCAAAGGATGCAGAACGTTCAGATTTACAGAGGAAAGCTTTTCAATGTCATCTCGATCAATGGGATACTGTAAGCCTTGTGGACTTCTTTGCAGTTGCAAGTGTATTCAATGTTGAAATGTATGTCAAAAAGGGAAAAGAATATAATCTATTCCTTCCTACCTGCAGTAGTTTCTCTAAGACATTTTCCTCTCCTATCTACCTTGAGCAAGCTTCCAGCGACCTGTTGGTTCCTTTACAAAATTGCAATAACTGTTCATGTGTTTGTCGAGAACCAGTTATCTCCGGCCGATTACCAGTTTACCAGGAGATGATCGAAGATTTTGTCATGAAAAGACTTGGTAAATCTTGGTCATTTAAATTTATTCTGAGGTATTTTATATTTAAAATCATTATGTCACTTACTTGGTGTTCTTTTTTTTAGCATTGGAACCATGTTGTCCTGTTGGAAGACACGGTACTCATAAACACTTCTCTACAATCAAAGATTCCCAAATTGTCCCCAACGACCAAATTTCCTCTTATCAGAGTCCTTTGGATAGACACGTAGAAAAGGTTATCGAAGTGTTGGATACACAAGGAAGAAAACTTGATCAAATAAATGGTGGCAAAGGTTCCCTAGAGCAATGCCTAAGCAGAGAAATTTTTGGAGATGAGAATAAAATTTCATTCCTTAAGTCAAGGTAGGAAATTGGCTGATTGATCATTTTTTTTATCTTAAATAAATATCCACCAATCAGAATACATACTAGAAATTGATCAGAGAAAGAGAAATTATACATGTATATGTATTCTATATCTATAGGAATATCCATATTCCTTACAAAGTTAACGCCTTGAAATGGCGTTTATATTCTAAAAACTTATCGAATGAAAAAACACTTTAAAAATCAATATCCGACCTTTTTCAATATGTCATGAAATTTTTTTTTTTTTGAAGTTGTATAAAAGCATATTTTATTATTCTACGATTTTAGAGTCTTTTCTTCCGTATTTTATATTTTATCTATATGTTAATTCTAAATCTCTTTTATGAAAACAATTGCTTCATATTTACCATGACTTATAGGTTTTGTTTGGGAGAGGCAATGACTCCAGAAGAAATCTTGGCTGTCATTGCGAATTCAACAGAAAAACCGGTTTTTGTATTTAAGTATTATCCAGAAAATTATTCATGGATCTTGACTGTGCCTGACTCAACAACTTCTGGGGATGGCTGCTGTCGATATTACATCACAATTTTCTACAATGGACTTACCAAATATTTTGACAGAATTGTTGCCAAAAATGGATGCAACTGTAAATTACCTTCACCTGCAGTTGATATCAGAACTAAAATAGGTATACTTCATTAACTTTTCAGTCCCTGGAATTACAAGAAATAAGGGAAAAAGTATTCTTTTGTGATTTTATAAGAGACAATATGTAAAGATATAGAACATCAATTCGTAATGGCAAGGTTCTAGTTTTTGATAATTGTTACCAGTAAAAGTATAAATTGATTATATATGCAGATGTTACTATGCAAGATAACAAAAATGCAATTAATATTATGGTATACATGTATTATATTTTAGATTTGAAAAGAGATGAAAAGAAAATCCTCGTTTCAAACAGACATAGACCACTCTTGACGTTTCTTTCCGATGATGTAATTATAAGCGAAGCCTTGTTTATTGACGAAGTTCGACGTGTACCGAAAGTATTTTCAAGATATTCAGAAATTCCCATCATAATGAGTCGCAACGATATGCAGGATAAAGAAATTGATTTTATGTCCGATTATAGTTACTCTTTGTGTAGATGTGTAAGCAAGGAAATTTTTGGAACTGAAAATGAGTTTCAACTTATAATGAAAGAACTTGTGAACGAAATTTGTGAAAATCCTCATTTATATGGTAAATTTATGAGATTGGACAAAGATGAAACGGAAGATAATGAACTCCATAAGAATTTTACATCAAGAAGAAGAACGAAATGGGATTTTGTCATGGGGCAGGCTGAAAAAAAGCAAGCAGTTTATTATGCTAATCGAATAAGGGATGGAATGGAAATGGAAGACTTAGAACTCCTTGCAATAGCCACTCGCTTCCAGGTTCCAGTTTTTGTTATCTGTGTTGAAGAAGAGAAAGGACAAATTTCTACATCTTGGAAGGAATTTACACAGCTGAAAAGAAAGCACAGACCGAAACACATTAGAGAAATTGCACGAGAACATTGTTGCAATATGGGTAGCGATGGCTCAAGCAATTTTTTTGTAATGGTGTACAGAACCTTTTCAGGCCAATTTCATCGAATAGTTTCCAAAGATATGATCTGCAATTGTTTGATAGACCACCCTAATGTTCCGAAGATTGAATACCACAAACCAGCCAGAGCAGGTAGGTATTGGTTAACAAGCCTTTACTAATATGCATATTTTTAGAAGGATCAATAAGCCTTCTTCATTTAAAAGAAACATTTACATATTTTTTAGATAAAAATATCTTTGCCAAAATGAGGAGTATAGAGAACAGGCTTACTGTAACACGGTTAGCACTTGACAATTGGATACGATGTAACATGGCGCTTGAACTTCTTTGCACAGAAATCATCGATGGGTTAGAATGCAGAAGAAAAAATGTCAATATTGCATCAATCGTTGGGTCTTCTGTGGGTCTTGTTGGGGCCGCCCTTGCTGTTGGTGGACTTATAGCTGCTCCGTTCACAGCAGGGGTGTCACTTGGTCTCACAATTGCTGGTGGAGTTGTAGGAGGAGTGGGAGGTTTCACGTCAGCGGGATCAAAGATTTCCGAGTTCATTTTGAATAAAGAGACCGTCTCCCAAATGGAAAGATATCAGATGAATTTACGAGAACGATCACGAAACCTCGAAAAATCCATCAAAGCTGTTGAAAAAGAATTCAAAGAGCTTTTAACGGCTAAAGATTACGTTGAATGCATGGATAACAACTCCTTAGAACTAGCTACCTCTGCACTTAGATCGCTCACCGTTGTCCCAGTGGTTTTGCTTCGAATTATTGCAAGGGCCATTACTCTTGGAGATATGATTATCGTTCCACTTTCTGCTCTCCTCGATGCAGGAATTCTAGTATTTTCCATACATAATCTTGTTAAAGGGTGTCGAACAAGAGAAACAGAAAGGTTAAGGACAATTCGTACCATACTTAAAGTTACAAGAGTACAAATGCAAATATGGGGTTACGGAAACCAGAAAAAATGGGAAAAGAATACAAATGAAATTCCTAAAATTTCCGAAAGCTAGTAACAGTGTCGATTGATATGAGGACTAGATTTAAAGTCTTTATTTTGTATGGTCCATTTAAATATTTATGTAACGATAAAAAGTAAATATTTCTTTTTAAATTCAGGAAAATACTAATAAATTCAAATTATCGACCAACAATAAATTCATTGAGTAAGACACTGATAATTTTTTATATGAGCATTTAGAGATTTTAAAGAATGAGGGGAGTGTGCAAATTTCTTATAACACTTGTAATGTTAACCAAAACATCGTGAGATACTTTGCAAACAGTTTCAATTCATAGAGAAGGTTGTGCATTCCTAGGTACGTTTTAATAAACTTTTCACGTGTTATTTATCTGTGTCACCAATGTATTTATTATTCAAGGAATGTATTAAGCTACACATAATTTATCAATGTGTAAATCACACAAACTTTTACAGTTGGATTATATTAAAAAATGTCCCTGTGCAAGTCTATTTAAATAACACAGCAATAATTCATTTATATTTACATATTAGATGTTTATAAGCACTAACACGTTATCAATGTTTGAAGTTCGTCATGCCATATATAATAAAACTTTCTTTAACATCTTTGTAGTTTCACTGTATTTCGCCTTTCTACCTTTATATTGCTACTCGTAAATTTAAACAAAAAATGGCATTCAAATCAATTTTAGGGGGCCGACTGTAGTTTCCATTGCGCAATATTTCGCGCATCATTGTTAAATGAAACTTATTTACTGTTTATAAGAAATGTTTTTCACTTAATTAAAAAAATTGATAAAATAAAGAAATTATAGGTTAAAAAATTAAATTACGATTTCATTTATCAGATTTTTAAAACGATTTTTCAAATGATAAGTAGAATGGCGTCGTAAAATAGTGTTTTTGACGTAATGATAGAGTGAAGAATAAGTAACAAATATATGCTCCTGAAATTAAAAGCATAGAAATTTGAGAATCTTCCCTTCATTTGTATATTTTTTTTATGTAAATCCTTCATATTTTGTGGAACTCTATAAAAACAGGAAAATTCGTAATTTTTTTGGTATTTTGAGATGTTCCCTATGGGAACGAGACGGTGGAATGTTGTGTTTCTTTCATTTAATGTACAAAAAGGTGTTACCCATCATATATTATAGCTGGAGCAAAAAATCTATTGTAGTATCTGTATAATTTGCTGAAAAATGCCAAAAAATGACACTTTCTAATACAATCCTATAGTAAATGTACCCGTATTTTGAGACGGTCCCTTATAAATACCTGGACGGTAGATTTTTCTCAACCTTGGCATACACACTTGAATCAGTATACGTAATATAAAGTTTGAAAATAAAAAGTTTCATTATTGTAGTTTTCACGCAATAAAACCCCAGACGACCCCCTTAACACTTAGTAAAAAAAATTAAAAACATGTCTATTATTAATATTATGCTTTGCAACCTTAAAAAATTCTTTGTTTTTGATGTAAAAAAAAAGGCATGAAGCATAGCATAAGATAACCTGTTTGACCGCTTAACCGCTGGTGTTAAGGTAGATTTCGTGGATTTCGAGGGATTGATTCTTAAGGAGGATGAAGGATGATTACACAAATGCAATTTACCGAAAAGGTCTATTTATAGATAGGAAACTCCAGACTTAACAGAGATTTTTTTGTACATCAAATGTTAAGGAAAGGAACTGTTCTGTCACAAAATACAATGACTCAATTTTTTAGTACGTGCGTATATATTTTAAAAGAATCCAGTGATGCTTGTGTCAGTTTAATTTTAAAAGAGAGTGATTTGCTGATAATATTTAATTTTTTTGCATGTCATTCGGTTAACTTTACTTTTACGTGTTAACTCATAATTCAATGCAATCCTACATCAAACATACTTAAGGAAAAAAGGTCAACAAAATGATTTAATTTAAAATCTAACTAAACAATTTTATACACAACGTGACTGACGAAATAACTTGACCTTCTAACTTAAGTTTATACTTTAAAGAAAGACCTGATGATGATAAAATAATTTTTTTCGAGTCTGGAAACTTTTAACCTGAATAAACATTTTGGATAAAAACATATTATTGATAATGGCAGGGGACCTAGGTATGATTTAAATAAGGAAACTAACAATTCTTGCTTTTATCACATTTGATAACGTTCAAAGTGGGCATTTCTTAAATTGTCCTTCCACTGAATGAGGGAAAAGTGAATCAAAAAACAAAAAATGTTTTTTCTGTCTTTCCTCGTGTCAACTTTATATTTTGATATTTCACCATAGTTGAAAAGGAAAGACAATAGGATTCTACATGCACAGCTTATAACTTTGTTCAACGAACGAGGTTTTAGAAATATTCTTTTTATCTTGTTTCTGCTTATAATCATTAGGGTCTTAATTCTGTCTTCAGCAGAAACATTTCTTTCCATTAAATTCCCCCATTATATCAATTTTTGTTTTACGTCATCATAGATGGAGTTTTAAGGATACATGTACGTGTATATAGTTTTTGTCCTGTCCTTCCTTCTTTCCGTCTGTCTGTCTGCTTTCCCACAAAAAAACTTTTATTTTGACAATAATATTTGAGTAAGTGAGGCTATTACGTCTATTTCAAAAGGTGTGTTTTTGTGAAAAAACCGTTCTTTGGAGTACCACAAAATTTGATCTCTTGAACTTGACATTAGAGTTTGACCTACTTTACAAAAAAAAAAAAAAACTTCCACTCTTTTATCTTAGCCATAAATTTTAAATAGTTGTAGCTAGGGTTTTTATACTTGATATGTTAATTCATTGTAACAAGCTTAAGACCTTTCAATGGGTATAAATATTTATGATCTTTGGACATTGATCCTAGATTTGAAATTGACACACTTTTGGAAAACTGAACACTTCTTGTGATTGATGGACAGATACACTAATAAAATTTAGCAATCCATGCTTTAAATTTGTTTTACGTTCTTTTGAAAAGTTGTCATATTTAAACGTCGTCGTTTTCCAGCAAAGGCTGTTGATTTAGACCAGTACATTGGGTGAATGATCTTTAGCATGCAAGGAACATTTATACAGTATATGATGTTACCAAAGGACCGTTATCAACTGCACACATTTGATTAGAACAATCAATGTAAGGCACACTTTTTGTTTTGCTATCCAAACCAAGCGCTTTATCAGTAGTGTCACACACTTCCTTTTTTTGTACAAAAACAGAGAAATCAAAATGGTCTAAATACACCCTCATATTGCAATGTTTAAGATACAGTTAATTTTTGTTTATACTAACAAGCTAAGAGGCCCATGGGCCTTATAGGTCACCTGAGCATTATGTAACAACTTTCCAGTGATTGAATTTGATTCATGTTTAAGCCAGATGCTATGGCGTTCACAATTTTGAAAGAGGCACCATTGATCATCATAAGAATACACAAAGAAGCTGCTTAGTTTGTTTATCTAATGCCCATAGTCAGATTAGGGGAAAGAAAAATGCATTTAAATTAATCAGTAATATTCATCAATAATCAGTAGTATCCCTACCACACATTAACCCCTGACATTTAGGCCTAGATCAACACATTGCACGATTTTTGAAAAGGCATCCTTGCTTTTCAAAATATTTGATTAATACCAAGGAGCAAATTTCAAACAATTCATTCCTTTTCAGTATATAAGTACACCCCCCCTTTTGGTAACCCTGACCCTGGGGCTTTGAAATTCACAATATTGGAAGATTGCTCAACATAACTAGATTGCTAGTTCATCTGCTTAATACCCAAGAGCAGAGAAGATTTTCCTTGATTTAATGTATTTTCATTATATAATCAATAGAGCCCTGCCTTAACACGAGAACCCCTGACCCTGGGGCCATAAAATTCACAATTTTGGTAGAGGCACTTTTTCTTATCATAACTATGCACTTAGTTAGTTTATTTAATACCTAGGAGCAGAGAAGAAGATTTTCAAAGAATTCATGTATTTTCACTATATAATCTATAAAGCACCGCCCTTGCACTAGAACCCCTGACGCAGGGGCCATTAAATTCCCAATTTTGGTAGAGGTACTCTTGCTCATCATAACTATGCACTTAGTTTATTTAATTCCGAGGAGCAGAGAAGAAGATTTTCAAGAATTCATGTATTTTCACTATATAATATATCGAGCCCCGCCCTTGCACTAGAACCCCTGACCCAAGGACCATAAAATTCACAATTTTGGTAGAGGCACTCTTGCTCATCATAACTATGTATTTAGTTGCTTTATTTATTACCCAGGAGCAGAGAAGAAGATTTTAAAAGAAATAATTGCATTTTCACTACCTACTTATTTAGCCCCGCCCTAGCACTAGAACCCCTGACCCCAGGGACATGAAATTCACAATTTTAGCAGAAGACTTATTGTTGATAACAATCATGCAAACATTTTGACTGCTTGATGTCCAGGAGTAAAGAAGAAGATTTTTAAAGATTGCATTAATTTTAGTGGTTTTGGCCCCACTCCTCAGACCCCAGGGAGACAGGGATCATGAAATTCACAATTTTTGTTCCCCTTCACCCATAGATGCTTTGTGCTAAATTTGGTTGAAATTGATTCAGTGGTTGCAGAGAAGAAGCTAAAAATGTTGAAATGTTAACGCAAAACGCACGACGACAAACAAAAACGGATAGCAATAGGTCACCTGAGTTTACTCAAGTGACCTAATAAAAATATGATAATATTCTAGTAAGTTTGATGGAGGTCGAGTGGTAAAAACAATGTTTCTGAGTGACATGTTTTGATGGTGAAGTATGTTATTGAGTTATCTGACAACTTAAATCCCATTGTAATCCCCTACTATTCAATATCAAAAAATATATAATTTCTCAACTTATGAACGTTTCACCACAATATTGAGCTTAAAGCAATATGAGCTGCATGTTTGACTTCGGAAAAAAAATATTTCAAATTTGTAATTAACTATATCAATGACAGGAAAATAGAACATTTATAAAATTCTGTTGTTCATATTGCTATGATAGGACTTTTTATTAGCTTTGATTGAAGCAAAATTGAATTATTGTCGTCCTGTACAATAATGATTTCTTATAAAGTACTATATATTCTGTTGTACAGAAATATTTCTTTTGAAATATTTCTAAACTTTATTTTGATCTTTTTGATCATAAGGGTTTAGATTACATTTATATTAATCATAATAACACATTTTACCAGCAAAATAAAATTCTAAAAAATGCAGCTCATATTCCTTTAAACAATTTCAAACTTCATTATTAATTTGCACTTTCAAATTATTATTTTAAAAAAAGGAAAATTTAAACAATTCATTTGGGTCAGTTCATTGTTTCTTTGTTTTCTAGATAATATCGGTAAAACTGTTCTTCATCTCTTGAAATATCACACTTCTCTTTCAATTCTTCATAATTCCAGACCATACAACATGATGGACATTTAATTTCCATACACATTTCTGTAACTTTCATCTTTGTGTACTCATACAATCCGTAAGGTTCTGGGAAAAAAAAACAGAGGGATGGTTTTTAAAATATATTCAGAATTATCACGAATAAAGCTCTGTCTGATAAATAATTAAATAAATAAGGTGATTGGCATGATAGACAATACTTTTAAAAATCGCAAAGGGAGTAAACATTATCGATAGGTGATACACACCGAGTATTGACTCATTTTATAAATGAGAGTACTTTCTAAAGGAATGCCCGTTAGATATTTTAATTGAGGCTTCTCTAAAATGTATTTTGTTGTATTCTAAACATAAAATGTTTCATATAAGAACATAATTTTTAGTTACCTGCAGAATGTGAACAGCTCATTTTCACACAAATATAATTTGTATTGCTGTTTGATATGACATCTTCGGCGCATTTACTGAAATATTTTCTTTGAACTTTTCTGCTTGCATTACCTATCATGATTTTTATTTGGTCTCTTTCTTCCGGTAATTTTATGTCATTTTCGTCATCAGAATTTTCGTCTATTTTTTCCTCGCGTCTACACACACACATAATCTTTCTGTTGCCCTGAGGTTTTTGTAATTCGAATTCCTTTATTGTCTGGAAGAATATGGCGATTTTTAACTATAGTTATCATGCCTTTTTGGTACATGCAACTTTTCACCAGTGCTTCTTTAAGGTCTGTTACACTGGCAACATTCTGAAATAAATGCAATTTCTTAGCGAAAATTCCCTATTCTGTTAAGTAATTCATAGTGTTGTTCGTATAGATTAGATAATTACCTCAATAATACATTCTACTTCCGGTCCAGAAACCCTTTGTAAAGTTATTTTGGAACTTCGTCTGTGTATAATGAAGGACATATTCAATAATTAGTAATTTTCAATATGTAATAAGATGACTGATGTTAGAAAGAAAAAATCTAAATGAACATGCACTACTGTAAATAAAATTGGTTACAACTTAACAATAAATATCAATACGTTTTCTTACACAGGATGTCAAGGAGACTTGCTGACAGGTTGTTTTGTAGATAATATTTCTTAATAAATGTTTTATTGGCCATCGTTATCAAATGAAACTGATTGATTCTGTCTCACATCCTAATGTCAAAGCTTTTAAAAACAATGAAACGTACTCAGGAAAATACTTGTGACCCCTCTTTGTTTTTTTTGTTTTGTTGATAAGCAGTTAGTTTTGCATATTAATACTGTTTTTTTCTGTGTGGGCTGCCTTGTCCGTCAATTTAAGAAAAATAGATATCTACTTATATCTATTGATGGATCCATGCCTCAGTTAAGATTAAAGTTCCTTAAAAGCATACACTTAAGATTAAAAGACGAATATTAAAGCACACATTTTCTTTCTAGTTTCAAAATCATTAAAAGGTTTTGTACCTCCTTATCAAAGCCTCAGTTTCATTATCACTTCCTCTCTGACCATCTTCTCAGTTCAAAATGAAAAAAAATTCTTTATCAAAATTACTTAAAAACAAGAGGTCCATGGGCCACATCGCTCACCTGAGTAACTTGGGTGATGCAGATCTTTACCAGATTCCCCCTCTTGCTATACCTATCATGCCCAACAACCCCCTTCCCTTTTTTATTTTAAAACTTTAGAATCTACACTACCCCAGGATGCTTCCACATAAGTTTCAGCTTTCCTGGCCCATATCTTCTTGAGAAGAAGATATTTTAAAAGATTTGTTCTATATATTTCTATGTAAAACATGGAATTCCCTATTGTGGCCCCGCCCTACACCCGGGGGTCATGAATTTAAAAATTTAATATCTACACTACCCAAGGATGCTCCCACATAAGTCTCAGCTTTCCTGGCCCAATGGTTCTTGAGAAGAAGATTTTTAAAGATTTGTTCTATATATATTTCTTTGTTAAACTTGGATTCCCTATTGTTGGCCCGCCCTACCCCCAGGGGTCATGATTTTAACAATTTCATATCTACACTACCCAAGGATGCTCCCACATAAGTTTCAGCTTTCCTGGCACAGTGGTTCTTGAGAAGAAGATTTTTAAAGATTTGTTCTATATATTTCTATGTAAAACTTGGATTCCCTATTGTGGCCCGCCCTACCCCCGGGGGTCATGATTTTAACAATTTAATATCTACACTACCCAAGGATGCTTCCACATAAATTTCAACTTTCCTAGCCCAGTGGTTCTTGAGAAGAAGATTTTTTAGTGACCCCACCCTATTTTTGTCTTTTCTTGATTATCTCCCCTTGTAAGGAGACTTGGCCCTTTATTTTAATAATTTAAAGTTTCCTTTACCCAAGGATGCTTTGTACCAAGTTTGGTTAAAATTTGCCCATTGGTTCTTGTGAAGAAGTCGAAAATGTGAAAAGTTTACAAACGGACGGACAAACAGACGGTCGGACGGACGGACGACGGACAAAATGTGATCAGAAAAGCTCACTTGAGCCTTCGGCTCAGGTGAGCTAAAAAAGCAAGCAAATAAAAAAAGTCTGTTATAACACATAATGCACTTTTAATAGCTTTCAAAAGAATAAATACTGTATTCAAAGTTATCATAAAAAATATGTTATGTTTTTATGTTGTTTTTTTTTCAGTATCTCTATCCTCTAACAAGCTGCGTACATGTATTATGTGCAAGGCATTGTGTAAAGAATACGAACGTTTACTCACTTCTTCTAAAAAAGCTCTTTCGAATTTTCTCTTTGAAGACCAACATGAAAATTAATCCGGCAATGAGGCAGGCACAGATTATTATGAGAGCTATGTATCGTTTCTCTGATGAACATTCTATATGACTGATCATGGGCTCACAAAAGAGGAGCTAGATAAGGGAATTCATAGAAATGTACTAGATAGAACAGAATTTCTGGATATTTTAGTATATTAAAATGAAATTTCAACTTTTCATTATATTTGTACAAAATGAAATTTCAGTTTTACATTTAGGCGTCATTTGAAAATAATGAAAAAGGTTTTTTTTTATTAGAAAGCTGTTTTTATCAATTACATTGTATTTAACATTTCTTTTGTATATTACCTGTTTCTGATTTCTTCTATATCAGGAGCGTTTGTGAGCAGTTTATAGCAATCTTGGTCTAGCAAAACATAGTAATAAAATATTAAACTTTTCACGCGAGATAATGCAGAAAAAAAAATATATAAATTCATTATTTTTATTTGAATTTGTTCTCAAATAAAGTATCTTATTGGACAGGGTTTCGAGAAAGTAAGGCATTCCGTATCTTGGCTATTCCAAATTTTGGCATCGCGGATACTGTATCTAGCACAGTTTCCTGTTAAACAAAAATTTCTAATTACGTACGGAAAATAAATGTGACACATTTCATCATATATCTTATCTACAGATATTCATTACTACGGAATATTCAAAATAATTGTATTGTACATGTAATGATAAATAGGTATTATTTGCTCATATTGAAAGCAAAGTGCATAAGTAGATATATAAATAATAAAAAAAATGTATGGTGCCTGCTTCAAGTACAACGATACCTATATAATTGCTTGTAAATGTACATGTAAATACCTGTTAAAAACCATACAGGAACGCACACCTCTAGTAGTTTTGTGACCTCTTTATTCAAGACACAGTGATACTCATACTTATAAGACGATGTATAGTTATTTAACATGTCACATTTTTTCAGCTTCGCTGCCTTGTCCCAAGATTCCTTGTTAACAGGACAGGAAGTGACGTATGTTATTGTTGGTAATGATGCTGGAAAGGAGATTCCCTCACAAAGCATGTTCAATGTAAACTGCAAATATCGAGAGCTTTGCATGAAAACAAAACTGTAAGCATGAATTAAGTAGGGAAAAATCTAAAGCATTGCCACTAATATGTACATTTGATTTTCAAATATTTACATTTCCAATGTCTTTGTCCGAGATAAAATTACAAATTGTAAATGTACTTTATTTCCAAACAAAGTATTGGTGCGGTTCCAAAAAAACCAAGTGCAGGGCGTAACAAACAGCTAAACAGAAGCAGGGATTAAAGCACGTGTATTGGCGGAATCAAAGCATGTAGATTTAGGGAATAACTGTCAGATTTTCAATTTCATGACGATGATCAATCGACTGGCTTGCATGATAATTTTATGCATAATTTTGACCCAATCGATTGATCACATCATGAAATCGAAAAATAAGACAGCTATTCGATCCTTAAATATTCATTCTAAATACAGAGTGTAAATAATAGTACATACTTACCTCTGCAGAACTTGTATTACAATAAATGCATATTCTGCAAAGGTTGATTAATAACTAGAGTTTTCGAACTCGATGGGCCTAGAAGAAACTTAAAATTATTACCGAAAAATTAAGACTATAATACCTTTTTAAAAAGGGCTTGGTCCCCCTAAAAAAAATTACTACAGTTAACTATAGTTAACTCTAGTAAATAAGTGTCAAAGTTTTCGTCAAAGTTTTTCAAAGTGTCAAAGTTTTCGCCAAAGTTTTTCAAAGTGTCAAAGTTTTCGCCAAAGTTTCCAAATTGTCAAAGTTTTTGCCAAAGTTTTTCAAAGTGTCAAAGTTTTCGATAAAGTTTTTCAAAGTATCGAAGTTTTCGATAAAGTTTTTCAAAGCATCAAAGTTTTCGATAAAGTTTTTCAAAGTTTTCGATAAAGTTTTTCAAAGCATCAAAGTTTTCACCAAAGTTTTCAAAATATCGAAGTTTTCGTCAAAGTTTTTCAAAGTGTCAAAGTTTTCAATAAACTTTTTTGAAGTGTCAAAGTTTTCGATAAAGTTTTTCAAAGTGTCAAAATTTTTGATAAACTTTTTTCAATTTAAAGTTTCAAAGTTTTAGATAAACTTTTTCAACGTGTCAAAGTTTTCAATAAAGTTTTTCAAAGTGTCAAAGTTTTCGATAAACTTTTTCATATTGTCAAAGTTTTTGATTAACTTTTTCAAAGTGTCAAAGTTTTTAATAAACCTTTTCAAAGTGTCAAAGTTTTTAATAAACTTTTTCAAAGTTTTTGATAAAGTTTTTTAAATTGTCAAAGTTTCCGATAAAGTTTTTTGAAGTGTTAAAGTTTTCGCCATAGTTTTTCAAAGTATCCAAGTTTTCGATAATTTTTTTTTAAGTGTCAAAGTTTTTGATTAAGTTTTTAAACTATCAAAGTTTTCGATAAACATTTTCAAAGTGTCAAAGTTTTCAATAAACTTTTTTAAAGTGTCAAACTTTTAGATAAACTTTTTCAAAGTGTTAAAGTTTTCCATAAACTTTTTCAAAGTTTTAAAGTATCCAAGTTATTAATAAAGTTTTTCAAATTGTCAAAGTTTTCGATAAAGTTTTTTGAAGTGTCAAAGTTTTTGCCATAGTTTTTCAAAGTATCCAAGTTTTCGATAATTTTTTTCAAAGTGTCAAAGATTTCGATAAAGCTTTTGAACTATCAAAGTTTTCGATAAAGTGTTTCAAAGTGTCAAACATTTTGATAAAGTTTTTTTTAAAGTGCTAAAGTATCCAAGTTTTCGCCAAATTTTTCCAAAGTGTAAAAGTTTTTGATAAAGTTTTTCGAAGTGTCAAAGTTTTCACCAAAGTTTTCAAAATATCAAAGTTTTCGTCAAAGTTTTTCAAAGTGTCAAAGTTTTTGCCAAAGTTTTTCAGTGTGTCAAAGTTTTTGCCAGAGTTTTTCAAAGTGTCAAAGTTTTCGCCAAAGTTTTATCAAAGTTTTCGCCAAAGTTTTTCAAAGTGTCAAAATTTTCGCCAAAGTTTTTCAAAGTGTCAAAGTTTTCGCCAAAGTTTTTATAGTGTGTCAAAGTTTTTGTCAAAGTTTTTCAAAATGTCAAAGTTTTCATCAAAGTTTTTCAAAGTGTCAAAGATATCACTATAGTAAATCAAAGTTTTCAAAGTGTCAAAGTTATAATTATAGTTTACTATAGTATTTTTTTGTTAGGGGGGACTTAAAAGACCGTTTGACATATCCAAGAAGATCAATGTGTCAGATGTTGAAATTCAACTGTATTTTCAAATTGATTAATTATCAAATTGAATAGACTTATCCGAGAATGAAAAGCACTTATCTCTACATGTATCTAATATTCTTACCGTGCTGGTCATTATGACAGAAAAAAATGGCTTTTATTACCATATTCAAATTAACCTTGCACAGGTCTACAATACTGAAACATAAAGAAAATGATGAAATACAGTTCATTTGTAAGTAATATTTCTTATTTCTTTCTCCAATCTAAAAATATCCAGTTTATGTCTGTTTTTTTATACATCTGTAATAGTATTTTATCCAGAAAGAATCATTTTTTGATATGTAATATGTAATAGTGCTGACTCTACCTCTAACAGTCGTAATATTACATGTATAAGAAACTTGAAATTGACATGTACTCATCCAAGTTCTAGATTTTGTTTCGTGAAATTGCAGGCAATTAATATCTAAATCTTTCAATTTCGTATATTGTTTCTTTTTTTCTAATTAATATTTTTAGAAGCAAGCTAGCCCAATATTATTTTGCTTATATTACAAAGGGCAGACGTGATTATGATATTCTGAAATTCTGATATTCGTGAAAATAAAAATATTAAATATATTTTTTTTTATTAACGAAAATGTATTGATCTATAATCTTGTAATAATAATGTGACGATGAGGATCAATGTCTACGTATTTTTAAATGACCCTCGTATTTAGCTTGTACGGTTATAACTTTGATGATTAGATGCAATCGTAATGATTTAATATAGTTTAAAATGTAACAGTCAAATAACTATCAATTTTTAATTTATTATCTTTATGTGAGATTGCATTGTCCCTTTAACAATTCAAAACACGTAGATCATTGGCGGATCTAAGAATCTCGAAAGGGGTATGAGTTTGGGGTCGAAGTAGGGGGTCACAGACACATTAAAATAATTTTGAATTTTAAACCTTATGTATATTTTTGACACAAAAGGGGAGGGTTGTGCAACCAGGGCCCTACTCTAAATCATCCACTGCAAATACCCAGCCCAGTTGCAGTTAAAATAGAAAGCTATTTTTAACGCACACTAATCTGAAAATAACTCAAGAAAGGTACGCACGAGTCACATATTGCATCTAAAATACATTTAGTTGAAGAAGCGTAGAAGTAAAATAGCTTTCTTTTCTTATTTAACAGATAAAAAAAGAATACATGTAGGTTACTTTTGTTTCATAAAAACATCAACCAATTATACCTTTGAGTGCACCTTGTATGGAAATCCCCAAAAAATAAAGACAAGAACCAACTTGAAATCTAAATAATATGTTTGCAGTAAATATAAGGGTAGGGACTTGAAACATCCGAATAAAAAAATGGTAAATCATTAAAAAAATATAATTATGAAAATGATTTTGTCTGTGTCATATTGTATTAATAAATAATTGATAAAGTTACTGATTCATTCAATATCTTTTTACTTATTTATTCATTTACTTGTTTATTTTTTCAGATTGAATACTGTTCGTTTTCTTTTTGGCATTCTTTTATTGAACTCAATCCCGCAGAGTTTGTAACAAGTTCACTTGAATATCATCGTCCTTTGCTCTTCACCCTGATAGTTTCAATCTTAATTCTTAACACGATATGTAAACATACATAATTATGTACAAATTAATATATCAATTAAACTTATATATATTACTTTCATTTCATTTATTGTGTACACTGTTGAAAACAATCTTTAGCGTAATAACAAAGACAATGTCAATGTAATACACCCAATACACAAATTTAATAATCCCTCCCATCTCATTCCAAGCGATACGACCTGGATTGAGCAACACCCTTACCAAAATAAAAGACTTCTGGCGCATAGTTGCAGCAAGTTTACTGCAAAGTTGCCGCAACCTTGCGGCAAATATTTGCGACAAACTTGCCGCAAATAGATTTCTCGTATGCAAATTTTTTTTCTGGCACACAATTTGCGGCATATTTGCGGCAAAGTTCTGGCACATTTGCGGCAAACATTTCAAATCCTTACATTATGCACTTAGCTGCAAGTTTGTGGCACATACTTGCGGCACATTTCTGGCATATATAGTTAACTGCAAATTTGTGACACACACTTGTGACATACACAATTCCATAAGCTAATATACCTTACCTAAACAAATTAATTTTTAATTAAAAGAACGTGGTTAAACATGACAGCAACATGTAATACATGTACTATAAAAAGAGAACATTAAAGCCATTTTAAAAATTATTTATGAAAATTTCAGAGTTAATGGTACATGTATATATAACACTTACTAAAATATTAATGTTTAAAAAAAAAACTTGCACAGTACGAGAACAAAATCTGTTGATTGTACAGGTACACTGTATACATCAGATAGAGAAAGAAACAGAGAAAAAAAAATAAATTCACAACCTTTGTTTAATATAATGGCACAAATTTACATTGGTCATTATGCAAAATGAATAGAGGATTTGTAGTTAACAACAATCACAAAACATTTTACATAAAAGAAAAGATTAACCTCTTAAAATGAATTTCAACTGCACATATCAAAGTAATAGTGCTGCACGACATGAATAAAAACATATCAAGTATTTTGACAAATTAAATCTCACAATATTATTTACACAGGAATGGCGACAGTTTTGTCCAGTGTCTTGATTCTATCACTTTTAATAAAACAACAACATAATCCCCTTGAAGAATCCATGTCATGTTGAAAGAGTGTCCTCATCTGTTGCATTTTCCATTAATTGATTGATTGTATATAGTTTAACGTCCCTCATGAGAAATTTTCACTTATATGGAGATGCCAACATCTGGCGTGGGAGAGCTGCAAATTTTGTCCTAAACTACATTAATTGGCACTCAGGGCCATTGAGCAGGGAGGATCTTTTTTGATCATCACCTACTGCAACATGGGACCTCAGTTTATACAGATCCACAGTGGAATTCAACTCCTTACTTCTTGACTTGAGAGCAGACGCTCTAACCATGCGGGCGACAGATTTGATAGGAATATTTATTAACTACTTTCTTAGTACTTCAAGTTCACTCTTATATTTCAACTAACTTTTCATGAAGGGGGGGGGAGGGCTTCCTTTCCAACATTATGCAAGTACCTGTTAAAAGGATAGAGAGAAATTACTCGCACTGCAGTCATTGAAACCAATAGTTATTTAAGCAATGAATTAAACCTAATTTTAACCTAGAGATCCCACATTTGTATCTTATTGTTTTGTGTGCCTTAAAATCATATTAAATGGCATTTCAGGATGGATTGATAAACAAGGATTCGAAAACAACACCTCATTAAAAAAAACTACACAATTCTTTGACAAATTATATAATGTAAAGTGCATTTTATCATTTGTTTACTAGTATTTGTTTATATGACATAAACATTTAAATATGGACCTAGTTATTAATTGTGATTACTTACTTTCAGTCCATCTCTTAGTTAGCAGAATCCTTTCCTGCAGATAAATGCCCTTTTGGTCTATTCTTTGTGGAGGGTTTACTGATTCATCATCAGTCCATCTGGATAGAACAAAAAATAAAAACATATACTATATCGACCCAATTTGTTATGAACAAGGACCTTAAAAATTCAAATTGGCTCAGCAAATACAGTCAAGTCTTATTTCTATGCAAAAAAGACATCAGCGTAATACAATTTTTTTTTTTAAATACTCACTTTCTCTCTTTATCCACGGTCTATGTTGCTGTTTTCTCCTTTCTCTTTGTTCTTGTCATGAGTCATGACCCAGGTGGTTTAAAATTGGCGCAAACTTCAAAACCGAATGTGAACTGATAAGCCATTCTTAGATAGGTCTGTAACGTAACAGACAAGTCGTTCCTAAATCTTTATGGCACACTTTTGGCACGCAATGATTTTGATAGATAATAGAAACATTTCTGGTACACTTCTGGCACACTATATAAATAAAAGGCATCTAAGGGAAAATTGTGGCATACTTCTGGCACATATGTGCATCAGATCATCTAATGTGCCGCTAGAAGTACATATGTGCCCCTAGCAGCACACAATGAACCGCAAGTGGCATACTGTGTGCTGCTAGCTGCATTTACTGCACACTTCTGGCATACTGTTCTGATACATAGATTTGTTTGCGGCAAACTTGCTGCAAGCTTGCCGCAAACTTGCAGCAAACATTTCATTTTGGTAAGGGTGCACATGCAAAGAGTGGATTATTCTTGTCCTCTAAAACCCTGTTAAGGTATAGTTCCAATTTATTACCTTTTTATCTACTATGTTATAAATTCGGTAGTTTTTTTTAAGTATTGATTGTAATGTATTGGACTATGTAGAGCCACTTTGAATTATTCAATATAAGTCAGTAAGCTATTTTAACTGAGATCAGTGAGATCGCTTATGGACCTCTCTTCTTTAATATGAGAGAATCCTTATTTTTAATCAGGAACTTTCATCTCAATTTTTTCATCTACTGTATATCAACTTACTTTGATTGCAATTGAGAGGAATATGATATTTTGGTAAGAATTATAAGTTCGGCAGACAGTTCCTCTACCTGTCATCTCCTTGCTCTTGATGACCCGTATCTTTTTAATCCCTGTCTTCTACTCGTCGATTTTATGTTACATTACAATTTTCCTTGTCAATTTGATTGGCGTAGTTTGGAATAAATATTGAAACATAATAGGCACTGAATTACAAATTGTAAAATTTACTTCCTGTTATTTTATCATATTTCCTATTAGTAATATAAAACTAATCGAAATACATTAACTTTGTATATGCAGTCTTTAATCAATTTTTTTGCTTTTAATGCATATTTTAAATAAGTACTAGATATTGGATATGAGAATTCAATTCAACCTTAATAAGTTTAGTTACTCGGGAGAAATGTAGACTACTGGTTTCTTTTCATCTTTTTAAAACCCAAAGATACTCTGCAATTTTTGCAATGAATTCTGCAAAGTAAGACAGAGAAATTAAATGAATTGATCATTTAATTCATAATGAATGATAAAAATTCAATTACTTTTTTTGCACATAAACATGCATTTATTTCTTAATAACGACTATATGTCTTTTAAAGGTTACAATAAGATAAATGAAAGAGGTCAAGATATTTAACAAAACATTTATTTAGTCTATTACCGAAGAACAATGTAATATAAAAACACATGGCATTGCATTAAAATTATTAAAAACATACATTTACATAATCAGAAGAAAAATATATTGACAAAGAACTATATCCAATTTATGCATAAAATGGCCCTGCTTTTATGTCAATCAATTGACACTCCTCCCTTGTTCAGTTTCATATACACGTATCAAAATAAAGTAAAGACTCTGTGGTTTCATTTAAAAAAAATGAGAAATGATACTTGACATTATTGGAAATCAGGCGTAGTGCAAATGCAATGTTCTAAAATGTTGCAGACAATGGCGTATTTGACAACCTTTAGAATAAAACTAAAATATGAGCACAGTCCTCGATCCAAAAAATAAAACATGTTTATGTTCTTCACAGAATGATCTTATAGTCTGTTACCTTATTTTATTGCATATTTTCATCAGTGGTTTTGCTCTGTATGACATTTTGAAAAAGAATCTTTCATTTCGTGGCCATTTTAAAAGAAACTAACATGAAATGGGGAAAATGACGCATTTTATGACGTCATAACACATTGACTAGAGAGAAAATTAAGTCATAAGCAGTTTTGACTTAAAGACCCAACTTTTTTACCGTACGGTTACCTGAGGAGGGGGAGTGGTCTAGGTAACAGTGGTGTTATTTACCTGGAGACCCCCAATACTCAAAATGTCAAAAATCTCTATACACGTAGCATTAAACAGGAAGTCTGTCTTTGGTAATCATTGCGTGTTTCGTGTCTAATTTTGAGTCAAGCTACTCGAACTAATCTAAATATTTCATAATAAAATTTAATAAATTTTGTAAAGCAATCGCTTTCATTGATATCTTTTGAAGAAGAAAAAATTATGAAGTAAAATGGTTTTATTAAATTTTTAATAAAAAAAAATGTAAAATTAAAGAAAAGATCACAAGTTAAAACTGCATGAAAAACAATCATATGATCTCTATTTTTCTCAAATGACTGTGAATAATGAAATAAAAACTAAAGTATACCATTTATCCTTCGTGTGAACATTGACCGCGATCGGAATATTTTTTTTTATGTTCTGGCCAAAAACATGAAAAATAGTGTCCGAAATACATGTATTCATAATTTCCGAGTGCTCGCATGTTTAAAAAATGTTTATTGCTGTGCAAGATTTATTTTCTATATCGATCGAGCATTGTTCGTTATCTTTTCCTTTCCACAACAAATAGATACAGACATCAGAGAAAATTCGAACAGTAACTTACAATCTCGAAACTCGCGTTTTCTAGCAATAATTGTAACATTTCTTTACAACATGGTGTAGATTGTATCTATATAATTATACAAAGATAAAACATGTGAAAAAAGATTTTTTGTAATCGGCATTAATTTCTGTGGACGTTGTACGGCACGACATATCTTCTACAAGTACCATACTGCCGTGAAGATTGAAAACAAGTATTTTGTGAAGTCATGTTTTAATCATCTCTCAATTATTTTTTGAAATAAAATTACCAACACCACGATTAGGATTTGTTAGCCCGCGTGTACACAAGGCGGGTACATGAAAGTGTTAGCATGGTTAGACGCGTGCCCAGGCAATTGTTTTCAAAACATGCAAAATCAGATTATCAGGAAGCACAGGTAGCTGGTCTGTCAATCAAATCAGAAGCTATTGTTTTTTTAATGATTGACAGGCGGTAAATTATTGATCTCGAATCTGGTAGATTTTGGGGGCGTCAACGTAAAATTGGGTGTTTAAGAAATTCACAGATCCAAAAAGATGCTTGCTATTTATGTGTTCATTTCAATATAACTGGAATGTTCTAGTCTGTTCTCATTGGGATGGGAATCTTGGTCATTGGTATCTTCTTTAATTTCGCTGTATTCATCATTTTTCTTAAGAGAGCCAAACTCAACAGATTCATAGTAATTAGCCGATGAGGAGCGCCTAATACTGTCTGAACTCTTCCGAGCTTCCATCATGATATAACTTTTTTGAACTGGTTTGCTGGGATTCCGACATGGGGCACTGTACTGTTGACTGGACAAAATAGCTTCTCGTGTATCAATGTATTCTCCAGCTTCGGTCTGTTGATTGGTAGAAGGACATTTGTCATTTGTTGATTTCATGCGTCGACAGATTGCAATTATGACAGCAAATGAAATGGTTACGACTGCGGCGAGAGATATAGATAATATTAGAACCAGCATAGTCACGCCTTTAACTTCTTTCTTCGAAATTGAGGAGAACATTGCTGTGGATGTTTCCAGACCAAAACTAGCCGTACCTAAACCATACAGGTTGGATTATTCACATAATATGCTGACTTGTTCAAATAATATGGATATAAAGCATTTATTTTATTTCTTTTCCTCTTATTTGAGTATTATTCTACTGGTTGAATTTGTGTCTAATATGTTAGCTGATTACAAATTTAATGTTCCTTTACATTGATAATTCCTATATATGCAATACTGTAGTTGCACTTTTAATTTGCATATTTACTTTATGAAATCTTTTTTTTTTTTACAAAATTTGTATGGGGACATGATTTGATATTATCAAAATTGGATCAATCAACATTTTTAAACACGTATATATGTTTGTCTAATGAAGATGAGGGTATGGAATGAAGAGGTATAAATCTATTAAGAGACAATGATTATTAGATATTTAAAACACTATAACTACTTGCTTTCCTTTACTGGACACCCGGTAATGTAATGACAGATAAATTCATCACACTTGCAGATTTGTTGACAATGTTTTCCATACGTCGGTACTCTGCACTTAAACATACATCTTTCTCCATAGTAACCTGCCCTGCATCCATCTTAAAAGAAAAAAGAAAATACAAGGAAGTTAGATAATATACTGTCTAAGTTTGATGCGAGTATTTCTGACTTAACTCTCTACAGCATAGAAGGTCTTTGTCTATCCAACGTTCACAATCATTGAAAGATTTTGTTAACTAGTCTTAAAATAAAATAAAACTGAAAAGAATTTTAAATTGTTTTGTTTTTTTAGGGGGAGGCTACTGTGGGCGGGGGTCTCATTGGATAAAAACACGACCTTATTTTCTAACAGAAAATAAAAACATGAAACTTCTGTATGCCTCCTTCCTTCCTCTCCATTTATAAACGTTATCATATTTTGAGTTTAACGGCTAATCTCAATGATTTTCATATAATTTAGACACTGTTCATGTTACTGAACATGCACTTACAAAAATCAGAATTAGGGAGTAGTACGGAAGACACACGCATGGCATTTGTTTCCTTGTTCTTTTTATATGAACATTTATAATTACCCGAATCAGAGAAGCAACCTGTAGCGATGTCACATAGTCTCTTATCGCATCCACAATTTCCCTGGCACTCTAAGCCATAGTTAGGGTACGGACATGCCTGTGTACAATTCCGACCTAGATATCCTGGTGAACACACTACAATACAGAGAGATTAAATACATCACGATATATATTGAGTCTGATACAATTTAATTTATTAAAAATGTTGAAATTGATTGAATAATTTGCAAATGAAAATAATCCCTAAAACAGGAATTATCAGAAAATTTTGCGTTTATAAAATACAGATTTGTAGTGCATAAACAAATACATTTTGTGCTTAGTAATGTTAAAACTAAAATGTAACCTTTCGATTTTTAATATTTAATGTTATACTTACATTGTATTTTAGGCATTAAGAATTAAAAATTATTTAGAATTTTAAATGGTTTAGGTCATCGGTTTTGCCAAAAACTAGTGTATGTAACAGCAATACTTTATATGAAATACATATGTATGAATGTTGTATCACCTTGCCTTTTTGAATACATTTTCATATACATCTTGGTAAAGCATTCATCTAGAAAACTTTGTTGCAACCAGAACTGAAATAATTATTTCAATAGAGGTCGTTATTTCAATGGTGGTTGTATAACAAAGCTTTATCGATTTCTCAGAAAGTCGACCAAAGGCGTATGATACATTAGTAAATGATATATAAGATACACACTAGCAGATATTAAATTTTACATTTCCATTCTATTTCATATGTAGAAGTAAATCAAATTACCTTTACATCCTGTAAAAAATTCGTCCCATTCCCGACAGCAATTGTCAATTCTAAAACAATATGTAATGACTTGAATAGATAAATGACATTATAACTGGCAATATGTAAATTCATTTAATCAAAAGATTAATTCTAAACGTTTGATATAATTAAAACTTTCTTACTTTTCGCAATTTTCCTCGTTGTAAACAGCAAGTACCGAGACACAGATTATAAAAATTTTAACAAAATGAACAAATTTCTCCATAGTGCTAAATTACATAACAAAAATCGTAATTGTAACTTTGTGTGACTTAATTGGTAAATATCTAAAAAAAAAAAACTAATGAGTTAAAAACCAAGAAAAACGGAAATGGAATTTAGACCAATTATTCAAAGTAAAACTTCCTTCTCGACATTTTAGTGTTTAACACAGACTGACAATTCATGTACATGTATTTATCTAAGAGATCAATTCCCCGTTTCCTGAATTTTACTGACAATTGTTAATTGTATCTACAAATGCGGTAAATTTTGCATACAATTAATTGGTGAAATTAGTTCAAACAGTGTTCAGTCTTTGGGAATTTGGACTAGTTGATTATCCTATATTTAATGGAAAACAACATACACTGGAAGGAAAAGGAAACGCATGGTAAACTTTTGAATTGGATTAAAACTATGATTTCCAGAAACCTCATCAAACATTTTATCTTTTATCAACATGTTACCAGATTCTTGTTTGACTTTAAATGATAAATCATGCGTTATTGAAATTGATATGTCGATAACTCCCCCCATCACCAACCGCCCCCCCCCCCCCCCCCCAAATATAAAATAAAATTCTCATCATCCCCCTTGCGCAGGATTCTCCTGCGTATTGAGTTCATCATGACATTTTTCTTTGTCAAACGATTATTATTCAACCCTACCGACGGTAGTCGTAATGCTTAAGAGTAGCCGTTACATTCTAAAGCAAACATATCCTCTCGCCAATGAATCCCATGATTTTTTGAGAATCAAGCTGGTTTAGTACATATGAATGTTTGTAAGAAAGTTTCGACAAACACCGGCTACATTTTCCCAGTGTGAACATGCTTAAAGCGATAGGCATACAACTAATGTGTGCGCATGTGAGCGTGAAATTGACATTAAGTCGCCAAGATCTCGAACCAACTGGAAATCTGGATTAACTATTAACTATTTTGTTGAGAGAAGACAAGTTCTTAACAATATCATTGAATTTGAAGTAACAACGTATTCTTTCAAAAAAAGTTATCGACATCATTGTGTCTTAAATGCCCGCCCAATCCACACTTTGATAAAAAAAATAAATGCAATATATTAAATCATAAATGTATATGTATTGGTTTGTGTTTTGTTAGCTGTTTATCGACCCTCTCAAGAATTTTTCAATCATATGGCGACACCAGTTGATAGCTGGCTTAATATTTTGTCCTATTCTGAGCGATTAGGGTCTTAAGTAAGGAGGGGTCTTTTTTGTATTGGAACAGAGGATACTTCTACGAATCTTCTTATAAATCTGGATTAACTATCAACTGTCCTGTTAAAATAAAAACATTTTCATCCATATATTTTTTAATTACAGATAACGGATGGTTTCTTTTTACACATACAAGATATATTCAATTTAAAGTTGGTCTACTCTAAAACAGTTTTCATCTACAGAGATTAACAAAAGTTGACAAAGAATGAGTAAATGATTTGTAAATTATAAATGAGAAATACAAACATACATATATGTATACACAGATTGTAAATAAGCAGGAAAAAAATATATGAAGCCAAATAATCTTTATAACACAAAAATAAAGACAAGTTAATATCGCAAGTCATCACAAAATAAATTAAATTATAATATCACAGACAAAGTTAGAAAGCATACTGCAACAAAAATTTTCATGTTCATACAGTATTTTAAATTTGAAAATGATTTTCAATGATCGATTGCTTAAAAAAATATTAGAAAATCAAAATGATTTTTTTTAACTCTGGAAATATTTGTATCTCTCATATGCATTCGTTTTGATATCATTATTAATAGACACGATCTAATTGTATAGACGGAGTTGTCACATATGCATCAGATATGAACATGCAATTTTGTTTCCTTGATAATCTCTTCAATCAATTTGAGGAATTCCTGATCATATTTTCCTTGCAAAAAACATAGATATGAACAAAAACTTCCGCATTATTGACTTAAATTGAAAATTACATAACTATATTGATTACTCATCAACAGAAATCTATTCAATATTAACGTGATATTTGATTCTTTTTAACATTAAATTCTACATACTAGCCATGCTTCGCGTACTGTGCCTTATTTCTTTTCCAGACATGCACCACAACAAGTTTCAATATTTTCCAAGGCCGAGCCTCAGTCAAAATTGTTTGATACATATTGATTTCTTTTCCAATGATCATGTTTTTCTCTTCTACATTTTAGTGAATTTCGTTCTTTTTGAGATTCCATTTTTCAGAGCGTGTTTTGTAAATGTTTGACATTTGATATTTTCGTTGAAATGTTCATAAAATATCTAGTACACATCTTTGTCCATTTTATATTTTCATTTTTGTGATGATTGATGATTCCTAATTATACGTCTGCAGTTCAGTGCTCTCATTTTGTTTATTCATAAATATCTCTGGTGGGTTATGTAATGGTTCTTGTAGAGAGTGGGTATGTTCTGAGAGTAAAAGACCCCCATTTTTTATTTTAATGTTATTTCCTGATATGTTGCTTCATTTGCAGCACAAGTCATTTGTTCATCCGAACGCCCTTGTCTCCTTAGGTAAAATTCGATAATAACGAAGAGTATAACAAAAACTGTTAGAAAAACTATAATAACAATTGCGCCCACGCGAAAATAAATATGCTGTTGTCCTAAATCATTGATTTTGCCGCCACGTGAGTGAACTTGTGTGATGTTATCTGTGTTTGTATACAAAAAGATAAATTTTTGCTTAAAAAATAATTTTCATCAGGATAAAACTGAAATTCGTAGAATTTCAGATACATCAAGTAAAACAGGTCTCATTTGTTCAAAATTGAATAAGCATTAGTTTATAAAATTGACATTAGATCGCGTCAGTATGCCTGTAAAAACAACAATTCGTACCGTTAGGTTTTGGCATCTGGTAATGTGCATCCTGTCTCATGATAACAATAATCTTCCGAACAGTTACAACTCCGTTGACACAGTTTGCCATATAATGGGAAAGGACATCTTTCTACACAATTTTTTCCAAAGTATCCCGGATTACATTCTAAATTTAAATCAATTAGGTTAGGCAAAAAACCCTTTTCACGGAATTTTCAAAATAATATAAGAAATAGTTCAAGAAAAGATGCAAATAATTTAGTTGATTTTTTTTCAAGTTTGAAAAATATAAGTGATGTATAAATGTACATGTATGTAGATGATGAAATAAAGTGTTTTACCCAAAGACTTATGCAACTACCGCAAAAAAGAAGCATAATATGTATAAGAAGGATAATAATAATCTTTACCAACACATTCATGACTCTCCTCATTGTACCAGTAATTACTGCAGCATGTTACACCAGAGATTCTAACAAAAATATTTTTAAAAAAGTCATTAGATAAAGAAATTAATTTTTTGGCATGTTTAAACATATAAATAGAAAAACCTTTTCAAGAAAAGGTGCTTATAGTAGAACATACCCTCTGCAAAGTTTACTTTCTGCTGAAATAAATTTAAAAATATATGATTTCGTCTTTTTCGTGATATTTAAGAAATGGAATAGAACTCTTGCACTTTGATCTTAATAAACTCAATTAATGATTGCTAATTAGACATTTCAACTTTAAAAACAAAACAAACAAACAAACAAATGAAAGTTCAACTTAAAACATCTTAGATTGTTTCTAAAAAAATAATTACAATACATGCATCTACTTATCATGACTCTGATAATGTGTTGCTTACCCGGGCTTTCGGTAAAACATCCTCCAACTACATGACATAAGTCTGCTGAACAGTTACATGTTTGTATGCAGAGCTCTCCAAAATAGGGATATGGACAGCCATCTGAGCAGTTATCACCATAGTAACCGGCGGGACATTCTACAAAATTTTTTGTCATTATTTGATCGATCATTTGATTTAACCAAAACTTTATTTTTAAAAGCAGGAAACTATACACTTAAAAGATTTACACAAACTTACGTAAACATTGGTTTTTTTTTTTGCTCGTACCAAAAACCACTGCAGCATATTTTATGGCCATTTTCACTAAAAGAGAAAGAATAATTGCTGATGTATTTGTAAAATGTAAATGTAAAGGAATAGTTTTTTTTTTTTCAAAGATATATTACCTTCCACAATCTTGACCTTGACATTCCAACCCAGCAAGACAGATGGTTAATAAAAAAGAAAGGTGCATACATTCTCTTTTCGGAGACATCAGTGACCGTTCGCCTTAAAATTCTTAACTAATAACAGCAGTTCCATTTGGCTTTTTAACCTCATTTCATTTTGTTTTCTCCGAAAAGTTATCCAAAATAATATCGTTTTTAAATATATATTCATTTGCTAACAACAAAAATAACTATTGATTAATGAACATATAAGTTTACAATAAAAAGAATTTTAAATTAATATGTAAAAATATCACAGTTTACGTTCCGTCAAAAACAAGGAAGTGCTATATTTATATTGTGATGCAGAATGGCACCAAAAAATCAGTTCGATCTGATTAATTCTATATTAATCACAAGAAACAGCCTTTCAAAAAGCTTGCCTGACTAATGTCATCCATATCCATAGAGCGCTTAAGCTTGATAAGTTATAAACGTTTACATTGGGGGGGGGGGGTAAAAATGTTCACTAGAGTAAATTATGAAGATGTTGCACAAAACATCATGCATTCATTTTTAGTTGTATGATATTCATCAGATCAATAGAAAAAGAATACATTTTATATCAAGCATAATTAATATATTGTTTGAATCTCAAATAAAAAGTGGAAAGAATATGTACCGCTGGGATTCGAACCCGCGACGTAAAGATGAACACCTCACTCCGCAAGTCTAAAATGGTTTT